ATTTTTTAATTTGACAAAAACAACATTTGTGATATGTGCAGAATTCTTTATATAGATGGCAATATAAGTGTTTAAATATTTAAAACATTTAAAATCTGATAAATATAGAAGTTATGTATACAAACACATATATACATATATGTACACACATACATACCTCTTGTATCGACTATAATGGGGACTTTATATAATTTTCCAAGATATAGATTTGAAACTTGTATAATAACTATATAATTATATAACTAATGTATAATAATTTTAAACTTGTATATAAACTTATCATATAATGGAAATCATATAATGGAAATAGTGTATATCCTAAGACTAACAAATGATTACACAAAAATAACATTGAATTGGTTAATAAATTAATAATAAACATTATATTAATATAAACTACAAATTAAGCAATACAAGTTTATTAAAAATATATATACAATCTATTTAAATCCATTAATAACAGATAAAGTAATATATAATAATTGTTTAATAGCACTGTCGAAAAAAGGAGAATAGACAAAGCAGTTAAGATAACATTACTTATATGTAAACACAGCATGCACATAATGTAAATTAAATCTTACATCGCTGTACCTGTGATTGTGGTTCAGTAGAGACAATACTACCAGTGCGCATAATAGGTGTTTTATGTCTAGTCTTTGTGCGCACTATATAATTTTCTTCATATTGTATTACATCATTTCTTGGATCCCACGGTCTTACATCAGCATGCCGATAAACCCAATTCCCAGTTATAATATCCTATCATATGAAAAAATTATATTATTTTGCTAATATAAATATTTGACGATAAATATTAAACTATAAAAATTAAATAAAAAAAGCGACATATCATACTTGAACAAAGTATTTTGGAACCCATTCTTGTCCTAAACTTTTTCGCGCTTTAGCACGTTCCCTTTGTGCTTCTTCAAGTCGAGTTTTAGCTTCAGTAGCAGCAACTTGATCATCTCTATTAATAGCTTGTGTAACAGCCAACCATAATTTTTCACTTTCCCATTCTCCTTGATATTCTAAAGGAACCGTGTATTTCTTCAATCTTTTTTTGCGTATTTCCGGAGTTGGATTAAAGAAAACACTTTCTTGCTGCAAAATAATATTAATAATTATATTATATTATATTAATAATTAATTAAAGTTATCAATCAAGATATAAACTTAATTTACTCCTGTTCGTTTATCTGTTATTGAAATCAATCCATCCCAATATCCCGAAATAGTAGCTAAAGTCTCTTTTCCTAAGCGTATTCGTCCCACAACTTGATTCATTAATTCTGCACCGCCAAGAAATGGCTGGAAATATTGTTCTTATCACATATTTTTACATATACATATTAAATCATATTATATCATAATATTATTATACCATAATAAATTATATAAAATAATATATTATTATACCATAAAAGTACACAAATTAAAATCTTATGTTTTTTTTAACTAAATCAAATTTTATTAATAACTCTGGCAGAATATATTATTTATTACCTTTAGTTTAAATTCTAGTTCAGTATGATAGCCGGTTTTTTCGCATATTATATTTACTTTTCCACCGAGTTCCATAGACAGTGTTCCCATCAAAATACCTTTACAATGTGCATAAGGAATTGTCATTGTATAGTCTTCGCCTCTTGGTAGCATCGTTAATATGGCGACACCATCCAAAATTGCAGAGGTTGAATTTCCTATAAAAATATAATATATGCAATACAGTAATCTTTATATATGTATTGAAAATAAAAAGTATTAATATTATTATGTATTGTGTTAAATAATAAACAATATTTACCATAAAATTTTGACTTTGCAATAATTGTAGCGCTAATAGTAAATCCATCTTGACGATTTGTCACATAAAATCCTGAGATAGGCGGATGATGCGACAGCTAATAAAAACAAAAAAATATGTTAGAATAGAAAATATCTTAAAAAAAAAGTTACAATTAAAATATTTTCACATGTATATAATAATAAAAAAATTCATTTAATGTTAACATAAAATATCTTTTAGATTATTACTTGTTCAGCTAAGTAGAATGTTCTTGAACCATTAGGATGTTGCCAATAGCAACGGAATGTTTCGCCCAAAAGTGGATTGTACGGTTTTTTCAAGCCTTGTGGTTTCTTATAAAATCCTGATAAATACCATTTCACTACAGCTTTCATACGTGTAAATGCATCATCTTCCAAAACTGCTCTATAAAATAAAATAAAATTCAAAAATTTAGTTTATTGCCGTTTAGATGATCAATATATTACTATGTCTTACTAACTGCGACAATAAATCAGCGTGATAGTATGAATCAGCCAATTTTTCTAGAAATGAACGTGATTCAAGAATAAAAGTTGGTAATACAACTTTAGACAGATCCATCCCAGGACGAACTTGTTTCATTAAGAACCATATCAAAGATTTTTGTTCTTCTTGCAGTTCCGTAACGACTTCGCCAGCCTGTTAATTAATAATACTATAGAAAATAAAATATAAAGAATACAATAAAAGATAAATATTTTATTATGTATTATGTATATTTTCTAATTAAGAATTATGCTATACAAAATTAATACTTACCGTTCCAAGAACTTCGTTTTCATTAGCTACATATGGTGTTTCGGTAATTGGTTCTGATGATTGATCTTCTTTGGCCGATGCCTCAGATTCGCTATCAGAGGCACTGATTTCAGCATCAGCTGCTACTCCATTTTCCGGTTGACTAATATCGTCCAGGTCTGTGTGCGAGGTGTATACAGGATCTAGCGTTACTATTTGACAGGTATCATCATATTCTAAGACGTGTATAGAGGGAATGGTCATGCGACGTGCTGAAGGAATTGGTGGATAAGATGCTAAAGCAGAATGTGAGGAGGTAGACGGCTGATTATCTGATTCTTCATTAGAAATCGAAGATACAACATTTTCTTGATCTGTGCCAGGTGTGGAAGATCGATCAAGCAAAAGTTTTTCCCAATATGTAACTGCATGACAAAGATGTTGAAATATTGGAGTTGGTGAAGGGCATACACTTCTAAGATCGCGAGTTATAGGTGAGAGTGGTTGCGGACAAGATAACAAACGCCTTTGAGGTGTTGTAGGTGATTTTGGAGCATAACAACTTAAATATACTATTGGTACAAGAAGCAGGATAGCAAGTAGGATGAAGATTAGGAATAGAAAAAAAAATAATAGATTATTATTAATGAATTAAGTTCGTAATATAAAATTACGTAGATCTTTATAAAGTAAGATTTAGATATATAGAAATATAAAAATATTTTTGTGTACATACACATACACATTTTTTATATCAAATATAATACAAATTTTAATAATTTGAAAAAAAAATACGTCAAAAAATTAAAGGCATTAAAAAGATGCATTAAAAAGATTACCTTAAATTCATGTAACACTATACAAATAATGTTATCTGTTATTTTTATAAGAAAAAACTTTTTTTAAAGTATAAAAATAACAGATAAAAAATAACAGACCAAACTTATAATATAAATATAGTTTGGTTATATAACTTGTACAAAATATAATAGTCTATAATCGATTACTTTTATCAATGGGAGTGCAAATTGACAAATCACCATGCATCATTCACAGATTGTACTTCTTGTACAACATATTTTTCTAATTATTTGTCTTCATAAAGTTTCTTATTTGATTTTTATTTATTGATGGTTATTCAAATCCAAAATATCGATTGCTTTTCCCGTTCTTTTGTTTCATTGTATAAAAATTCATATAATATTAATGTGTGAGGTATTCTCAAAATTCAATGCAAAATAAATTTTTGTAAACAATATGATTAATATAACATATTAATCATTTATGAAATATATTAAAATAGTTAAAAAACATTTTGTGGAATAATTAACCTTTAATTAATTAATTCACGGATAATAAAAGGTATATAAATAATTAAAAAAATATATTGCTATTTTACTATGCGTGTTAAAAATTTCATTCCATAAAAGATTTATCTAAATGCAAAATATCTCACTTTTATCACAAAAAAGTGATATTATAAGTATAAAGCTGTGTATCAATGATACTGACCATGATCATCAAAGTGCTTTTCATAATCAGCTTCGCTCCACTGAGTTTCATGAGTAGTAGTTGCATCATGTGTTAAAGGACGCGGTAATGCGCTTGTCGAACGCACTATTAATGAAGAACAACGTAACGACAATTCAAGTGCATCTAACCAACATTTGCCTGCCGCTTGGGATGGTGCTCGAAAGATTAAGTAAGAAGTTGGCAATGGTTGTACGACAGCACCTGGAAGATATTAATCTATTTATAACACTAAAATTGTATGATGATTATAATTACATATATATCTATTACTAAATTAGATTATCGATAATAACTCATTAATATACTGTAAAAAATAAAGTTGCTATATAAAAGCAGTATATATGTTTAATACATATGTTTACATACATATATACATATACATATATATACATATATAACGATGACGAAAAAAAAAAATATTATATATATATATATATATATATATATATATAGTAGTATATAGCTACCAATAGCTTCTTTTTTCTGGTCCTCGAGGAGCCCATATAGATTGCTCCAAAGGATGAAATAATTTAAAACAAAATCCATCTTTCTTACTTGGACGTTCTATAACTTGACATGTATTAAGTAGTACTGTTCCTACCCAATGATTACTCTATAATAAATATGTAATAGATATAATAAATTAAGTATATTATTACTTGATGAAAGAAGTGGACGAAACAAACCTTTGTTTTTGGACTTTTGTATAGAAGTAATAATCCAGGTTTCAGAATGCACCACAATTTGGTCCAACTTTTTAATGTGCCGCGAACTTTTAACCAATCACTCATAACAATAACAGTTGGATCTTTAAAAGAACTTAAAAGTTCATTGGCCACTCTTTTCTTTTCCATTCGATAATTTTTTCTCTGAGCTTTGTATGATTCCTTTCGCGTTAATTTGCAAGAATCCATTGACTAAAAACATTTAAAAAAATATTCATATAAAACATACATTTAAAGTATCTTATTATATTCCAGATAATAAAAATAAAAATAAAAATAAAATAAAAATAAAATAATAAATCACAATACAATCGAGAGGGAAAAACTTTTATGAAAAAAATAAGTAAAAGGTACAGAATAAAATTTTTCTTTGTTAAGTATACAATTAGAAAAAAAAAAATAACTTTAAATATAAATTCTGCATCAAATTTTTCTACCAATAAAAATTATAATAATAACTAATAAATAAACAAAATCTGTTCTTACAAATTGGCTATCAGAAAAATAATAAATTTAACCTTAATAAATGACTTGCATTTCAAAAATGAGGAATTAATTACCTTATCTGAAGAATTATCCATTTTTTGGCTACTTTCACCTGCAGAGACTCCTATAACAAATATAATTTGGTATTATTCTTTTGTTATCATATTTTGTACAATCGTGAATAACAAAATAAAGTGTATCCATAGTTTATTTTCTATAAATTTTTAAATTATATATCGTATTTAGAAAATTCATTTTTTTAATGATTTACATTAATAATACTTTGTTTTCTAAATAATCTAAACTTTTACAATTGAGATAATATAGTTAACACATTATGTATTTTATATATTAATAATAAAATAATAAAATTATATATTTTATCGATTATAAATTTTTATTTTGTTAACACAATTTTAATTCATACATATAATTTTTAACAAACAGATAATATAATAATTTTTATTATGAAACTAAATTTAATTACATATTAAGTAATTTAATATAAGAAATAAAAGAAAACTAAATGTTATATTTTCTAGGAAAAATAATTCATACTTACAATGTAGAAATAATTAAATTATAAAATATTTATAATAAAAGAAATGTAAATATTTCATAAGAATCTTATATAAATAAAAGTCTATATTTATACATTTATACATTTATCCAAAAATAATACGAGGTAACGCAAACATTATTTTTTCAATCGTTGTAATTAAAGAAATCAAACGAGAGAATTTATTTTATTTAAAAAAACCTTAGTTAATATATTTCTTTTTTATTCACTGTTTGCTTCTATTAATATATAGTTCAAATCATATTCTTTTCCATATATTTCACGTTTTATAATAATTGTTTTTTACTGCTATGAGTTTTAATCGTTCTTTATAATATTTAATTTATAATATATAATCTACTTTGGATTACTAAGATTATAATTAAATTAATTACAATCATATTTAAACCGTTCAATGTCTAATATTTAAGAAGTACTTATCAAAAATATTATAGAAGAGTATGAGATAAAAATTGAAATTTAATTTAAAACATTTAAACCCGACATTGTGAATCGCTGATTCTTTCACGCATTAATAAACGTATTCTCATAATAAGTTTATTAATTAATATTTAATATTTTATACATTTCTTGTTTTACATTTACATATTTGAATTCAGATTGCATATATCCAGTCCAATCCGACTTTGAATCCATTACAGTCGAGAAAACGATGTAAAATTTGTAAAATAATGTTTTGTATAAAAGAAAAAATAGAATATTAATGTTTATCATACATATTACTAATAAAATTTATTAATTTACTTTACGAAAATATATCACAGTTATATCTATATTAAATCATCTTAATTGTTATTGAGAGAAAAAGATTTGCTTATATAAATATACATTTATTTAATAACGCGCTTTTACATATACACACAATTTTTAATTTATAGATACATATAATATAAAAATCAAATTTTTGAAAAAAATAGTATTATATTAATCTGTTATGTTAAGAACACGTTAACGCTTCGCGAAGAGAATTTGCACCAGATTACTAACATATATTAATAATTCTGGATTAGATTAAATTTCTATTTTTCTATAATTCACATAGTGCAATCTAGTTAGATTGAAACATAAGAAATTTTAATGTATAAACTTTCAAGAATGCAAGCTAGTTAAATATCATTATCGCAATAAAATCATGCTTAAAGGGATCCTAAAGTAACGAGGTCCGACAGAAAAGCGTCCGTATGTAGACATCTATGCATACAAACATACTTTCATATATGAATATACACTCATCATATATTTATGCATACATACACAAATTTTCATACACACAAATCTTTCATATTCGTTATTTATGCCTAATTTTAAGAACTCTAGATTATTTCCCCATATAATTTACATACCATATTACATACCTATTTCCATTTTATAAGTACAAAGTCCATTTTATAAGTACAAGTTTTTATATAAAACAAGCTTTGTTACGGGTTAACAAGTCTAGCTGCTAAATAAAATTAAGAACAGATAAAGATCTCAATTTTTCAAACTTTTAATCGTTTCGATACAAAATCCACCGGCTTTGCTAAGCACCAGTTTCACATATTTTAATACTTATGAAAAAAGAATTTCTAAATCCCTGTAAAGCCAATAAAAAGATTAGCGTGTAGGAAAAATAACGCATTCGGAAAATAGAAATCAAATTTTGAGAAAAAAAAAAAAGGCAGCATGCAATACATTTTCGCTGAAAGAAAATTGCCTACTAATCTGTATAAGCATAATTAAATTAAACGCAAACTTTATGAAATAGCCCGCATAATGCAATGAATACAACCTGGACGTACGATTTTTCGTGCCTTGTGCAGAACATCACTGAAGTGAGGTAGCAAGATCTTTCTTACACAGAAAAATAAATTACTCTTAAATCAAGACTATATACTCTCATATTTAAGCAAGAATATTATATATAATTCTTTTAAAAATAATTTTAATATCGACATAAGTGTAGATATTTTCTCATATATAAACAAAAGTATTATAATTTTCATATTTTTGAAGATTTTTAATCTTGAGCAAAAGTAATATATCAAACAAGTTTCAATCGGGTCAAGATTAAAATTTTTAAAAGATTATAATTCTTGCTTGCATATGAAGATATTTGTCTTGATTTAAGATTAATTTTTCTCTTTAAGGTCAGATTCGTGCGAGTTGCCAGCACGAGAACTCGCATAAACGTCCAGGTCTTAGCAATGAGACATAAACATTTGCACTATTACATTGAATTATATAATCAAATCGATATATACGCGCTCTCTTATATCGATAATAAGGCTATTAATTAAACTTTCTTTACATATCCGAGGCTCATTTTACAAACAAATAAATATTAAATCATACCATTAGCTATACCAAAAGAATTTCATGTAAAACGAAACATAAACACAAGCATTAAAAAAGAACTTTGTAAAGCCATATAGAATTTTTTCTAGCGTATATACACGTCTATTCTATTGTAAAAATAAAAAAAGTATATAACGCTAATCAAGTTTGAAAAGCTGCTTGTAATCCTTCACACAAACGTTATCCCCAAACTATAGCAACGATATATATTATTTTCAAAAATATTTCTAGGTTTATACCTGAAAAAAATGAAGGTGCACCAGTTGTAATGTTTATGCTTGTTGAAAGGGACTCGGTTGATGGAAGTTTAGGTAATGGTGTAGACGGTGCTTGAATGCTGCTTCGTCGAGGTTCTCGATCCGCTGGTTCTACATATTTAGCACTTACTCAATTGCATCAATATTTATTATCACATTAAAAATAGAAACTGTTTCTTTTTCAAAGAGCTATTCAGAAATTAATCGACAATATAAACAGCCAGAATTTGTATTTTCTACATTACAACTAGATAATATTAACATGTAATGATAGAGAGAATATTGTCTTTTTTTTCTTTTTTCGTTTTTTTTTTTGGTTGTGTGTGTGTGTGTGTAATGGATCAGATGACACTTGCAAAAAACATAATTGTTTGCACTTAAATTTTAAAAAGAAATACTGCATGTTTGCCTACTTTATTGCACATATCATATACTGCAAAAAAAGAAGATATACATGCTTATTTACATGTGCACAATAAAAAACATGCTTCAAATTCATATTGTTACATGCAGTCACAAGCATAAATTATATACCGCCAATATATACAGGATGTTTTATTTTATTTTAAACAGTCAATTATTTAGAAATCACAAGATTGTAAAAAAATGTTTAGTACCAAAGTGATAGAGTTCTAAAGAGACCACATGATTACTTTTGTCTGAAACGGATTTTTCAAAATTATATTTTTAGAGATATTCGACTGAATTCAGACTTTTGGCGCACCCTGTATATAAGATTTTTATTCCAAAAATGATCTTAGAAATTTACTCTTAAGTGTTGGTATAATCTTTACAGAACACTCTGTACAAACACGCACACGCACACGCACACGCACGCACGCCACACGTGCGCATACACATGTATTTTATATATATTTATTTTGTACCCTGTGTATATATTTATTCGTAAATATATATATTTTTTATAAAAATCTCAATTTTATCTACAAAATAATCATTTATATTTTATTATTCTTACACCGTTATGTTTCAACAATTATTTTAAGAAATTTGATAATCTCGTGTGAACTATTAGTAAAAATAGTCAAAATATATTTTCAGACTTTGTAAATAAAATTCCTATACTACGTTTTTCTCTAATTTTGTGTGTATTATGCTTTGTACATAACATTTAAAAACAAAGAGACTTGTCATGTGAGAAATGTCATCTAGAACATCAAAGTGTGCTGTATGAATGCTTCTGTTTCATCCAATCAAGAATTTACGACAATCAATGTAAAATTATACATTGTCATCATTGCAAGACAAAACTAGTATGAAAGTGGGTCAAATGACATGAGTTATTATCCACAACAAACTACAGTACTACTTATAGCAGTAGGGATTCCTGCTATAACACGAGAATAGTTTGTTACTCTCGAGTATTGATTTCCATTTTTCCATCAGTCGGATGTGCTACAGTACATATTTCATTCATATTAATAAGCTGCCGTAACTGTATATAGCTGACATATCTTCATTGTCAAGATTACTAAGCATTTTTACACATAAAGTACATCGCAAAATGGAAGTACGCAAATATGGAAATACCGTTTTATAATAAAATCTCTCTAATTTGAAAATCTCTACATTTCGAATTTTTACTCATTCCTTGAAAAAATCCTCCAGACGAAAAATAGGAAACTAAGTCGAAGTTATTTATAAGTCTGTTATCTCTATAACTCGGATTATTTCAAAATTGATTTTTATATCACAAAAAAGCCTTTACAAGTCGAAATTTCAAAGGTTAAATAAACATCACGAAAGAGAATCCACATCAATATTTAATTTTCCTTCCATACTAAAACAACTGATATTATAAAACAAGAATAAATTTTTTATTTATTGAAAATTCAGTATGATCAATAAAAATTATAAAATTTTTTTGAAATTTAATTAGATACTTTTTCTTGTCTCTTTCTTAAAATTATAAGTATGTTTTTATTAAGTTATAGCATGGAATTAAAATATTTTAACTCAATTTAATGGATACATGTACATACACTACTAGTAATATTAAAGTTATTAAATTGTCTGAACCTTTGTAAACAAATTTTTTTTCTCTATAACTCGAAAAATTTCATAAGTTGAAAATTTCTATAACTTGATTTATTATCTATTTCTTTGGCATTGAAATTAGAGAGGTTTGACTGTTTTATAATAAAATTGTTTTATTAAATGTATTCATATTTCCATCCGTCATCAGATATTTTTAAATATCTAAAATATTTTGGAAAAACGCATAAAACTCAAAATTGTCATTGTAAAGATAGATAAATTTTAGAAATGTTTATGCATTCACACATAATAAACTGTAATAAATATAGATATTCTAAGTTGCATATACAGAAACAAATGTTATGTAAACATAAAGAAATGTATAATTTATGCGTTATATAAACCTATTTAGAATGCTAATAACTAAGTAGAACTAAGAATTGTAAAATGTAAAAACATGCTGCAATTACACCTATAATTTTCATTGACATGGTTCAAATGTCAATGTTTTTTAAGATTTTATAAAGTTTATAAATAGAAAATAGAATACACATATAATCTTTGTGTATATTTACAATTATGTAATATCACTTTCCTAACTTGACATTTTATCTATTTATACTTTATCACTTTTTAATTTAATACATCTTTTTCATGTCTTATAAATTAATTATACAGAGTGTCTCATTTTAATAATTCTCGATCAATGCATTTAAAAAAAAATGTTTCATATAAAGATTGTAAAGTTTCGAAGGGACCACATATGATTACGATATTAATTTACTCGCAGATGGCGTCACTGTCGACATTTTTATGATAATTTTTTTAAATGGAATTATATATTTTTTGTTACACAGTATGATTTCTCTAATTATTCTGAATAAAAAGATATTAAGATACAAATGTCAAAAAATCAATAGTTTACAAGATATTTTATAATTTATTCCGGCATATTCCTGCCATATATCTCGTAAACTATTCATTTTTTAATCACTGTATCTTTACTGTTATGTATAGAATAATGCGATAAATATATTAGTATAAAGAAAATATAATTGCTTGTAAAAAAATATGTACTTGAATATTACAAATTGCATAATTTTTTTTAAAACAACAATGTATCTTTCTTACACCAATTGATTTGTTTTACACCTATTATTCTATGTATGAAATATTAAGACACAGTTATCAAAAGCTGGGACACTCTGCATTGTACATATTGCTATAATGAATAATAGATACATTAATAATAATTAATATCATTACAAAGTGTCTTATAGTAATTAATAAACTTGTTTACGTTGTGGAATTTGATATATTTTTAATCAAGTACAGAAACATTAAACAACATATAACACATGTAACGACAAGATATATAAAGTAAGTACACTTACGACTGAGGGATCGGCTGACGTTTGGTGGTGTCATAGTCTTAAAGGTATCTGCTGAACTTCCAACAGATACAGAACAAGTTTCTCCTTGCAGACGTTGATTCTCTCCACCAGGTACCACAATCGGTTGCGAACTCATTGTGAATCTAAAATTGACAATTCACATCGTAAACTTCAAGTTTCATATAAAAACACGCATACACTTTTACGCGTCGAATTTAACGAACGCATCAGTCGAGAAGTTGTTCGAAAGAGAAAACGAGTGCACGACTCGTAGAAATAAATCACTCGACAGAATGCAGGATATACCTAGGGCTTCCTTGCGGAAGGAATGCCATGCGTGATAGCGGTGCATGTTTACCTTTCGGTTTCATCATGCAACTGTTATGCGTAGCATAACACGCGATTCACCTCACCTTCCAATGATCGGTTTGCACGGTAGATGTGTCAGTCCATTACAGCGACGAATTACGCGGCGGAGGTAATTAGTGCGCGCTGTGATGCGACGGAGGAGAGCAGCTAAGACGCGACATTGCGGCGACAGCGGCGGCGGCGGCGGCGGCGGTGACAGCGACAGCTCACGACCAGCACTCTCGTTTCGCGCCCGTGCACTACTGTCGCCGACTATTTCCACAGCCACTTCCGCCCGAAGCCGATAATCGTTGCGACCCGTACGCGACGGGTCGGAGGGAGATGCGATGACGCGTCACAGACAATCGCGAAACGCGATCGCACACCACCGCATCGATCATCCGCGCGGCTATCACTTCGCCTCTCGGCCAGTGGTGCGAACACTGCGAACTTGTGCCTGAGCACGCTGGCGATTTTCCCCCTCCACTTGCGCACACAAAGACGCTCCGTCTATTCGTGTGTCTGCGCAAGCGCGCGTAGGCTCACGGATAGATGGAGCGTCTCTGTGCGCAAGTGGAGGGGGAAAACCGTCAGTGTGCTCGAGCATAAGTTCGCACCACTGCTTTCGGCCTCGGCCGGCCTCGGCTCTCGAGCCTCGATAGTATGGAGACAGAGACAGAGACAGAGAGAGAGAGAGAGAGAGAGAGAGAACGCGCGTGCGACAA